TCCTGTTCACCTCTCGGCGTACACCGACGACTTAACATTGTATTATTCAGACACTGTCCTACCTAATACAGTCTCAACAATGCAAACAGCACTTGACCACCTCATAGATTGGACACAACAATGGGGCCTTCAAGTTAGTACTACTAAAACCTATTATCAAATTTTCACTAAAGAAAGACTTGTTCATCTACCCACCCTCACAATACACAACACTCCCATCCAACACGTACAAGAACATAAATACCTTGGCATGCACTGAGACTCGCCCTCACTTACCTGGAAAGCACACATTCAACACCTTAAACAGACAACACAACCCCGACTCGCCATACTGAAAGCCCTCACTGGCACCACCTGGGGAGCACACCATAAAATCTTGCTCCGTTTCTATACAACCTACATTCGCAGCCAACTAGACTATTGTTGTCAAGCATATGCGTCGGCTGCGCCTACTAACCTACAGAGCCTAGAGGTCATTCAAAACAATGCCATGCGTCTTATATGTGGCGCAATGCGTTCCACACCTATCCTCGGACTTTACCGGGAAACAGGCCTCACAAGTCTAGCCACCAGACGAGACATAATGTGTGCCAACTATCTGTCACTCTGTACCACTGCTCACCAGACACACCCATACAGATAAAAAATTAACCCAACAGTTAACCCACATAACCCCCGCTTCCCAACCAATCACTCGCAACCTTTCCTCACACGGGCTACAAATAACCTCAATATAGACCTCTCTCTACTCCAAAACTCGGAAACCCAACTTACTGTTCCCCCTATTCCACCTTGGCTTTATACAACTCCTAATACAGCAATACAACTCGAAGACAACATTCCAAAGTCTGCACCAAATTCAGCCATAGCCTCAGTCTTTCTTTCAACAATGAAAAATTGCTACCCAAATACCACAGCGATTTATACAGATGGATCTCGCATCATGAACAACGTACCCTCGGTCGCTAGCGCTGTATGGATACCGGAATACCATCTCAAGCAGGGATGGCGGTTACCAAACCAACTATCTGTTTTCACAGCTGAATTATATGCCTTATATCAAGCTCTCCAAATAATCACAACATTACCAGTCGGGACATATACAATCTGCAGTGACTCTAAGAGTGCGATTCAAGCCATTACGTACTCTTCAACAACGTGCAAGGAGTTTGTTTACCCATGTCTTCAACTTCTTCATGAACATCGATTAAACGGTTATGATACCTCTATCCAATGGGTGCCAGCGCATTGTGGTATTCTCCATAATGAACTAGTAGATCAACTAGCCAAAGCAATGCACAACACACCTCACGTTACCCGTCATCCCCATGTTGCACGTAAAGGAGCCTTCAAAAATGCCATCACCCAAGATTTTGCGACGAAATGGAAAACGTCATGCTCACCCTTATACTATGGGTCCATAAAAAAAGAAATGGGAAACTTGGAAAAATGTCAGATATAAAAGCAGAGAAATTGATATAGCGATGACCAGATTAAGGCTGGGACACACCAAACTAGCAGCACACAGCTCTAAGTACAGAACAGACATCAACGAACTCTACATCCACTGTCAGGTGCCTGAAACAATCGAACACTATCTCATTCACTGCTTCCGACATTATAGTGCCAGAGTAAATCTCAAACAAGTACTTATTTCACTTAAAATACCCTTTTCCATCGAGCATATATTAGGAGGCGGTGACCAATCGTTACAAGAAAAATACCAAATAGTCAAAGCCCTGGCTAAATATCTACAGTCGACCAACAAATTGGGTCACATCTGACCCGCGCCACATTTATACCTGGCGCCACCAACAGCTAAACACAGAAAACAACTGCCTCGTCGCAGCACCAAGGATCAGCTGACGCCATAAACACAACACACCGCCCTACGGTGCGGCAAGTCTCCCTCTAACACACACCTCTGTTCTAGTCGCCGCTCCTCTGTCTACAACACAACGCAACAAGCACTTTTGAAACTCTTTATCATCCTCAACATAAACGCCTCTACCAACATCTGTACTGGTGCAGTCATCGGGAGGACAAACCCTTCATGCAAACTGCACCTACTATCAAGAAGAAGAAGAGTGTGTAACTGTATGTGTGAGTGTATGTAACTGTATGTGTGAGTGTATGTAACTGTATGTGTGAACTCACCTAATTGTGCTTGCGGGGGTTGAGCTATGGCTCTTTGGTCCTGCCTCTCAACTGTCAATCAACAGGTGTACAGGTTCCTGAGCCTATTGGGCTCTATCATATCTACACTTGAAACTGTGTATGGAGTCAGCCTCCACTTCCTAATGCATTCCATTTGTCAACCATTCTGACACTAAAAAAGTTCTTTCTAATATCTCTGTGGCTCATTTGGGCACTCAGTTTCCACCTGTGTCCCCCTAGTGCGTTTGCCCCTTGTGTTAAATAACCTGTCTTTATCTACCCTGTCGATTCCCTTGAGAATCTTGAATGTGGTGATCATGTCCCCCCTAACTCTTCTGTCTTCCAACGAAGTGAGGTTTAATTCCGTAGTCTCTGCTCGTAGCTCATACCTCTCAGCTCGGGTTCTAGTCTGGTGGCAAACCTTTGAACCTTTTCCAGTTTAGTCTTATGCTTGACTAGATATGGACTCCATGCTGGAGCCGCATACTCCAGGATTGGTCTGACATATGTGGTATATAATGTTCTGGAAGATTCCTAACGCAAGTTTCTAAATGCCGTTCTTATGTTAGCCAACCTGGCATATGCCGCTGATGTTATCCTCTTGATATGAGCTTCAGGGGACAGGTCTGGCGTGACATCAACCCCCAGGTCTTTCTCTCTCTCTGACTCCAGAAGTATTTCATCTTCCAAATGATACCTTGTATCTGGTCTCCTGCTTCCTACCCCTATCTTTATTACAAAACATTTGCTAGGGTTAAACTCTAACAACCATTTGTTCGACCATACCTGCAGCTGGTCCAGGTCTTCTTGAAGCCTCAAGCTGACCTCCTCTGTCTTAATCCTTCTCATAATTTTGGCGTCGTCAGCAAACATTGAGAGGAATGAGTCTATACCCTTTGGGAGATCATTTACGTATATCAGAAACAGGATAGGTCCGAGTACAGAGCCCTGTGGGACTCCACTGGTGACTTCACGCAAATCTGAGGTCTCACCCCTCACTGTAACTCTCTGCTTCCTATTGCTTAGGTACTCCCTTATCCACTGGAGCGCCCTACCAGTTACTCCTGGCTGTTTCTCCAGTTTATGCATCAGCCTTTTATGGGGTACTGTGTCAAAGGCTTTCCGACAGTCCAAAAAAAAGCAGTCCGCCCATCCTTCTCTTTCTTGTTTAATCTTTGTCACCTGATTGTAGAATTCTAATAAACCTGTAAGGTATGATTTACCCTCCCTGAACCCATGTTGATGGGTTGGCACGAAGTCTTGTCTCTCCAGATGTGTTACTAGGTTTTTCTCACAATCTTCTCCATCACCTTGCATAGTATACAAGTTAAGGACACTGGCCTGTAGTTCAGTGCCTCTTGTCTGTCGCCCTTTTTGTATAATGGGACTACACTAACCATTTTCCATATTTCTGGTAGGTCTCCCGTTTCCAGTGACCTAATATACACTGTGGAGAGTGGCAAACAAAGTGCCTCTGCACACTCTTTCATTACCCATGGTGAGATTCCGTCCGGCCCAACAGCTTTTCTCTCGTCCAGCTCCAATAGGTGCTTCTTGACCTCATCTCTTGTAATTTGAATCCTTTCAAAGGTCGCCTGGTTTGCTGCCACCTCTCCTAGCGCCGTGACGTCTGCCTGTTCTATTGTAAAGACCTCCAGGAATCTTTTGTTGAGTTCTTCACCCACCTCTTTGTCATTTTCTCTGTACCTGTCCTCACCCATCCTAAGTTTCATCACATGTGTGAGTGTGTGCATCTGTATGTGTGTATCTGTACTCACCTAACTGTGCTTGCGGGGGTTGAGCTTCGGCTCTTTGGCCCCGCCTCTCAACTGTCAATCAACGTATGTGTGAGTCTGTGAATCTGTATGTGTGAGTGTGTGTAACTGTATGTGTGAGTGTGTGTGTATCTGTATGTGTTCGTTTGTGTGAGTGTGTATCTGTATGTGTTCGTTTGTGTGAGTACATAAACAGTTCTTATAAGAGAGAACACTGAACAACCTCTTACTTATGTCTTTGTGGCCCATTTGGGTACTCAGTTTCCAACTGTGTCCCCCTTCTTCGCGTCACACCCGTGCTAAATGGTTCATCTTCATCTACCCTGTCAATTTCTCTGAGAATTTTATAGGTAGTGATCATGTCTCCCTGTCACTCTTTTGTCTTAATGTTTTATGATTTTTAATTCCATTAATACTTCCTTGTAGCCCATACCCTTCAGCTCGGGGACTAGCCTAGTTGCAAACCTCTGAACGTTATCTAACTTCATTTTGTGTCTGAATGACACCAAATGGCTGTATACTGGCTGTATAAAACCAGTATAAAAATGACTGTATATATGGCTGTATACTGGCTGTATATAACCAGTATAAAAATGACTGTATAAATGGCTGTATAAAATGAATAGCTTTATGCTCCAGGCCGGAGCTGCATACTCCGGTATTGTTCTGACATACTCAGTATACTCACAGGTGGTGAGGGAGGTGTATACTCACAGGTGGTGAGGGAGGTGTATACTCACAGGTGCTGAGAGAGGTGTATACTCACAGGTGGTGAGAGAGGTGTATACTCACAGGTGGTGAGAGACGTGTATACTCATAGGTGGTGAGGGAGCTGTTTACCCTCAAGTGGGTAAGCCCAGGTGTGTACTCACAGGTGGGTAAGGCCAGGTATGTACTCACAGATGGGTAAGCCCAGGTGTGTACTCACAGGTGGGTAAGGCCAGGTATGTACTCACAGATGGGTAAGGCCAGGTATGTACTCACAGATGGGTAAGGCCAGGTATGTACTCACAGATGGATAAGGCCAGGTATGTACTCACAGATGGGTAAGCCCAGGTATGTACTCACAGGTGGGTAAGGCCAGGTATATGGTGAAGCAGCTTGTCACTGAGGGTCACAATAGCATTGTGGGTCACGTCTCTGTTGGTGAAAACAATAATGAGTGTTACATTGTTGTAAACTTATTTACAATAGGTTTTTTCATTTACAGTTAAGTTTGAATTTACCTGTTGTAGATAGACCATGACAACTTTACATGGTGGGAGGTTTACACTAAAAAAAAGGTTTATTTGTCGTGAAATTACGTGATATAAGATTTAGTCATTTTGAGATTTACACAAATACAGTGGTCAGAAAAAATATGTATGTTAATATGATGCAATGTCTTATAATATTTTTATGAAAGTGAGGAAAGACCCAATGTACGTTGACTAAACCACACACTATAAATTGAAGAGATGACGACGTTTAGGTCCGTCCTGGACCCTTCTCAAGTCGATTGTGAAGAAACGAGAAAGACACGAGTAGTGTAAGGCAAGAAAGAGGTGAGGAGGAGGAAATCTTGGAGGAAGGTTAAAAGCAAGGCGAAAGGTAAAGGGTATTACGGGCTCACCATAGTCCGTGCTACATGGACACTTCGTTCTGAGTAGCTAAATCTAAAACAACAACCGGGGGGGGGGGGTAAATAAGGTTATGAAGGGATGAAATTATGGATTTACTCAAATTATGTATTTAATGTTTCCTCCTTCCTATCCTTTATTACCCCTATCTTTCACCGTGCTTCTACCTTCCTTCAAGAGTTCCTCCTCACCTCTATCTTTTCTTACTGATGCCCCTCGTGCCTCTCGTCTCTTCACAATGGACTTGATAAGGGTCCAGGACGGACCGAAACGTCGTCGTCTCTTCACTTTCTAGTGTGTGATTTGGTCAACATTCTTCTGCCACGTTATTGTGACTCATCATCTGCACTCAATGTATGTTTAAGTGCATTAAAAATACTCCGGTGTAAACTACATCCTTTCATAAGGTACTGTATACAGTTTTATCAAGGTGTTGCATGCAGTATTCTCAAGGTGGTGTATACAGTGTTCTCAAGGTGGTGTATATAGTGTTGTCGTGGTGTTGAATACAGTGATCTCAAGGTATTGTATTCAGCGTTCTCAAGGTACTATATTGTGTTCGCAAGGTGCTCTGTACAGTGTGCTCCTAGCGCTGAATACAGTGTTCTCGAGTATACAGTGTTCTCATGGTGCTGTATACAGTGTATTCAAGGTTCTGTATAGAGTGCTTTCAGGGAGCTGGACATAGTGCTTTCTCAAGGTGCTGCATAGAGTGCTGTCAAGGTAATGTACACAGTGTTCTCAAGGTGCTGTATACGGTGTTCTCAAGGTGTTGTATACGGTGTTCTCAAGGTGCTGTATACGGTGTTCTCAAGGTGCTGTATACGGTGTTCTCAAGGTGTTGTATACGGTGTTCTCAAGGTGCTGTATACGGTGTTCTCAAGGTGCTGTATACGGTGTTCTCAAGGTGCTGTATACGGTGTTCTCAAGGTGCTGTATACGGTGCTCTCAAGGTGCTGTATACGGTGCTCTCAAGGTGCTGTATACGGTGTTCTCAAGGTGTTGTATACGGTGTTCTCAAGGTGTTGTATACGGTGTTCTCAAGGTGCTGTATACGGTGTTCTCAAGGTGCTGTATACGGTGTTCTCAAGGTGCTGTATACGGTGTTCTCAAGGTGCTGTATACGGTGTTCTCAAGGTGCTGTATACGGTGTTCTCAAGGTGCTGTATACGGTGCTCTCAAGGTGCTGTATACGGTGCTCTCAAGGTGCTGTATACGGTGTTCTCAAGGTGCTGTATACGGTGTTCTCAAGGTGCTGTATACGGTGCTCTCAAGGTGCTGTATACGGTGTTCTCAAGGTGCTGTATACGGTGCTCTCAAGGTGCTGTATACGGTGTTCTCAAGGTGCTGTATACGGTGTTCTCAAGGTGCTGTATACGGTGCTCTCAAGGTGCTGTATACGGTGTTCTCAAGGTGCTGTATACGGTGTTCTCAAGGTGTTGTATACGGTGTTCTCAAGGTGTTGTATACGGTGTTCTCAAGGTGCTGTATACGGTGCTCTCAAGGTGCTGTATACGGTGTTCTCAAGGTGTTGTATACAGTGATATCGTAGTGCTGTATTTAGTGTTTTCAAAACACTGTATACGGTGTTCTAAAAGTGCTGTATACAGTGTTCTCAAGGTGTTGTATACAATATTTTTAAGATACTGTATGCAATGTTCTTTAGGTGATGCATACTATATTTTAGAAGTGCTGTATACAGTGTTCTCAAGGTGCTGTATACAATGTTCTCAAGGTGCCGTACAAAGTGTCATCAAGGTGCTGTATACAGTGTTTTCAACGTGCTGTATACAGTATACTACAACAGTGTATACAGCACCTTGAGAAAAGAAGGATGTGGATTACAACCGATTTTGTTCTCAACACACATACTTTGGGTCTTTCCTTCACCTTCATTCATCCACTACGGCATTGTAGCAAGTTTCCCCAAAAATTCTATATAAAATTTAGAACTAGGAAGGATGTTTATATAATCACTAACTGAGGGGTGTAAATGATAGAAATAGAAAGTTGACAGAACAGAAAACCTTCAGAATGTTGGAAGTAAAAATTGAATGAAATTTTGTCAATATTGAGAGTCAGTTTTTGGATTAATGTAATCGAATATATAATTAATCCTATTTTGTTTTAAATATATAACTGAGGCTTTAGTGATTATTTTTATGTATTACTCTATAATAAAAATATATAAATGCACATGATAATTGTGTATCAGAATTTAGTAATACTTGTTTTGGTCTCCCCTATAGAAGCTTTAAGAAACGAGGCGTTTTCTATGATTATTTCTTCACTCCACGTTTTCTCAATTATGTCTTTTTTGTTCTGTTTTATTATTCCGAGAATGATATAGTTTTTATAAAAAAAATTTGATAAATCATTAAAATTTGTTTATATAATTAGTTTGCAATTTGGGATATATTTTGAGGAATTATTTATTCATTTAATTGTTTAATTTGCTGTTGAAAGATTTATTTCTTATACAATAATTGTTTCTGTTTAATTATTTTGTTTCATGTTGAGTAATTAAGTTTCTTGATTAATTATTTATTTTTCAATTAAATATTCTTTTTTTTATTGAATTATTAATTTATGTTGAAATTGTTTGTTTCCCCGCTTCTTTTTCTAATTGTTTCCTTCTTATTTGAATCATTGTTATCCAATCCACTTCAAAGACCTTAGGGAAGATAAACGGGAAAAGAAGGAGAAGGGGAAGATATAGAGAAACTTGAGCAGGTATCGGGATGTAAGGTGGAAACGGGGAAGGTACAGGTGAGTGGTCCAACCACTCTGGGTTTGGTGGTGGGAAAAGTGATACTGTGGGTTGTATGTGAGATAACGAGTAAGTAAGTAATTATCAAAAGAAGGCACCAAACCGGGAAGGCTATGTAGCACCATCAAATACGCAAAATAATCAGAGGGCGCTAAATATCACCAAGGATGCCAATACGAGAACAAAAACGCATAAGGCGAACGATATCAAAAGTATCCGAGTAACCAAGAATTCTATCGAGGGATAGGTGACCGCGAGGGGCGGTCGGAAAGCAAGCCACACGCTCGTCCTGGAAGTCAGGACATTCAAGAAGGACATGCACGACCGTAAGAGGGACAATGCAACTAGGACAATAAGGAGCAGGGCGGCGCTCCATCAAGTGACCATGGGTTAAGCGAGTATGGCCAATACGCAACCTCGCCAGAGCTGTTTCCCACCGCCAGTTACGGTGGAAGGAGGACGGCCACGAGGAAACACAACATTTAAGAGTACGTAGCTTGTTACCAGTAACAGACAACCAAGAAGCCTGCCAACGGGTAAGGACTGAGGAATGGATAACCGGGTAAAAGTCGGAATACGGAATGCCTTTACGAGAGATGGGACAAGAGCGGACAGCTTTATTAGCGGCAGCATCCGCACGCTCATTTAAAGACACGCCAATATGGCTGGGAACCCAACAAAACTCAACCGACTTAAATTTACTGTGAACGAGAAACAGCCAATGCTGGATCTCGACAACTACTGGATGAACTGGATTAAAGCACCCGAGAGCCATGAGGGCACTACGAGAGTCAACAACAACCACAAAGGAAGACTGACAACGAGAAAGCAGGAGACGAAGAGCATAGAGAATAGCATAAAGTTCCGCTGTAAAGATGCTAGTCTCCGGAGGCAAGCGACACATATAAGTGCGATCAGGAAAAACAACAGAGTAGCCAACACCGTCCGCTGACTTAGACCCATCGGTGAAGACAGAAACTGAGCGGGAGTGAGAAGAAAAGTGCTCGAGGAAAAGGCGTTTTAGAACCGTAGGAGGGGTAAAAGCTTTAGTGATACGAGTCAAGGATGTACAAAACCGCGGAAGAGGGACCCTCCACGGGGGCAAAGAAGGAACAACACGAGGAGAAACATCAGAAATACGAACGGAAAGAGAATCCTGTAGGCGAGATAACCGGACAGAAAGAGGGAGGTGGTGAAGAGGAACAGGAACCGCAGGAGGGGTAAAAGTTAAAGCACGACAGAGGCGAGAGGAAGGATGTTGCAAGGACCGCGCAAGATAGCGAAGACAGTAGCGATCACGGCGGTCCTGGAGAGACAGGAAGCCAGTGTCAACATACAAGCTAAGGACGGGAGTCGAACGAAAGGCACCAGAACTGAGGCGCAACCCAGTATGGTGCAAAGCATCAAGACGGCGAAGAGTAGAAGGAGAAGCAGACGAGTAAGCAGGGCAACCATAATCGAGCTTAGACAGGACGAGAGAGGAATGTAAAGCAAGGAGAGTGCGCCTATCTGCCCCCCAAGAAGTATGGGACAAGACCCGAAGGAGGGTAAGGGCCTTAGAGCACTCAACACGGAGGTAAGAGATATGGGGAGACCAAGACAAACGAGTGTCAAGGAATAACCCCAAAAGCTTCGCGGAATCTTTGTATTCAAGGGGATGACCATAAAGAGACAAAGAGGGACGAAGAACAACCCGTTTCCGCGTAAAAGTCATGGCACAAGTCTTAGAAGTAGAGAACTTGAAGCCATGA